TTTTTTTTAACCACTCATTTTTCAAAAAATAAAAAATATTATTCCACCCAGAAAATGGAGGCCAAACGGGGGCAATATAAGAGAGTGTGATTTTGTCAAGTTGTATGAATCTTTGGTATCATTGCCCCCTGAATATGTGGTTTTTTTCCACCTTTTTTCACTTTTTTAGTAAATTGCATTTTTATTTTTTTAGTGTCTAATAATCAGGAAAACATAATTCTTGATTATTTTTATTAGTTAGGCACAAACTTAATTTTGGATGTGGAATTATTTTTCAATGACAAGCGGAAATAATTACTTTATTGATTGCTAGTTTGGACAAGTATCTAACAATGTTTAAGCTTTATCAATTTAAGTTAATTCATAATGTAACCCATCTATATCAGGTTTAAAAATTCTTGAAAATAATTATTCTTTTTGCAAAAACAAGTACGTGAGATAATTAATTATTATTTGTTTTTCATTTTTATGGTTCATTTTTGTTATTTGTTGTGAGGTTATTTATGGGATAAAGTACTAGACTCTAGCTGATATTACACAGTAAAATGGTACTTAACAAAGATTAAATTATCAATAAACGAACTGAAAACCAAAACCCATTAGAACTGACGATTGCAAATGAAATTCAAATTTACTATGGACTCTCCCGTCGTTAGAGATGGGTAAAGAAGCAAGTATCAAATTAAAATGAACCATCCTATTTATTCCAAGCATATGTAACAGATTTCAGCTGTAACTCACTTCACTACCTCGCACAGTACGATAACCAGAATAGCATAATAAATAAATCATGCACAGAGCAGCACTTAGAAATACAATTTTTCCTCAACCAAGATTCTGGTGTTATCAGCAGGACCAGTTATCTCGAAAGTTCGCGCATCTCCAGCAAGAGACGAGAAGAAGACATGAAGAGAGTAAAGGAGTAATGAATGGTAAAGAAATCTAGACATATCTAAAATGGGGTCATATTTTGATTTTTATTTTAAGTTAACCGGTGGATCAATAATTAATTTTAATTTTAAAAGTATCAGACTTTCGATACATTGTAATCCATGTGTTTAAATAATGTCAATCTTCCAACATATTTGTCCATAATGGTAAATTGAATCATATAATGCTTAATTTCATTGCCTCCAAGTAAACAGCTTCCAAAATATTTTATCGACTGCTTTCGTTCTCTTCACAGTATGAAATTAACTTTTTAAACGACGATAAGTCATTGACATTTGACCAAGTTAGTAAGTTCCATCTGTACCTTCAACCATGGAGGAAATGAAATCGAGTTGATGAATTAAAACAGGCGCTTTCTACAATCTGCAGCGCCACAATAGCAAAGCATTTGTTTGATCTTGCCATCAGGACCCATCACACTATCAAGAGCGTACCCATAATCATATGTAAGTTCCTAAAGAGAAACAATAACAGAGTACGATCAGCAAAACTTTCAACTTATGGATAAGCACTTAATCTGGAGCTTAAAAAAGTTGAGAGAGGATCAAAGAACCTTCAATGGCGGTATATTGTCAGCAGCCATTAGTATCACTCGCGCAAGTTTGATATCATGATGATTGCTTAACACACATTGAACGAACAAATTTGGTTGGCAGCTATGATTGATGAACCTTGCAAAATTACCTGTCTGCCCTGCATCAATGCAGAATGGAACACTCTCGGATGTCTCATCAACTTTTCCCACGTGGGACGGCAAAGTTACATCCCGGAGTCGTCTCTAGAAAGTTAGTAAAAGCTTTCAGTCATTTGACATTATAGTCAAGAGATTGCTTGACAAGGTGTCTTGTACAATTCCTTAAATCAATCTCACTTTGCATTTTCCATATTGCTAATTTGACATTGTATATTTGTTACTCTTTCTTAAAAGTAACAATTTTGATAAACAGAAGATACATATAAGCACGGTTTATCTCAAAATGTACGTGTTAAAAAACACTTGAGGTAAAATGAGTAGATCTTTCAAGTTCAGACCAATATGCTTAAACTAAGAGATCGGAATACCAAAAAAAACATTAAATGAAGAATAGCATGATTAAGACTTGAAACAGTTACCTCTCTTCCATCCAGTGCGTTCATTGTTTGCAAGCAATCAATGTCAAAAACATAACTGTTGTCAGCAGCAGGGTCTATATCATCTGTCTTCATAAGCAGACCGATATATTCACAAACAGGGGCCCCAGAAGGTATATAATCCCAAGATCTCACACCCCAGCCCATCCTCGGAGTACGAAATACCTGGTGATCGGTGTCAAAAATGATATAGAGGTCAACCTTCTTTGATTACAAAAATGTAGAAAAGCAAAAATTGCTTGCACATACAAACCTCTAGTCGATAGTTAGGCGGCCTCTGAGATATCCGATTGACGCAATCAGGTCCACAGCCACAATTTGGACCGCATTCAAATACAACAGCTTTTGGCTCAATTAGCCTGGCAAATGTAAGAATGAAAGAAACAAGAGGTCACCAAAAAGTGGCAAAAAGTTTGATTAACATTTTAGACAGATTAAATCAGGTTTGTCTTTCTTTTTCCACGTGATGACCAGCGATACTGATGAAAGCTTTCGATTTGTTAAGGGTGAAAAGAAAAGAAGTGGCAACATGCCAGCACGGGAAACTAGCAGTTCAAAGTGCCTGCTCTTTCATAGGTGGAAAGCATACTCTAAGGTAAACTGAGAGCCCAAGTCATTAAGTGGAACTCTATTCTACAAATAATGAGAGAAGGTCTTTCCAGAGTTTAATTATGACATACAAGAAAGCAGCAAAGTAAAAATCAACAAAACCAATAAAAACCAACTAGGAAAAAGTGAGGGAATACAACCGTGTTCCATGATGTTTGAGACCAGCAACGCTTCTTGGGTCCCTGATCTTTTTGTATTTTGGGCCCGAACATTCAATTTTCGCAAAAGAGATCATTTTGGTGGGATTTTATCAAAGACAGACTAAATTGAGGGAAAAAGACAATTCGTATTCACTCAAGCAAACAGAATTAAAAGGAAAACCGAAATAACACCTTCCCCCATCCACGAGATTTATGAGTGAAGAAACCAATATCTCAGCATCTGAGTCTTGTACTCAGATCAAATTCTCATTTTGGACGTCTCTGAAACTCTGCAAATGTCACCACCGTGAGCCACCAAAGGTACAGTAGACAAAAGTTGAGCTCAGAAAATCATGTCATCTCAAATAAGGTTGTACAAAACATATCAAAAATGATCTCTAGTTGATCTTGCCTCACCCATTATTTTAGCCACCATGATAAGTGCATTTTGTGCACTTATATAGGCCACATTACTAAACTTGTATGTCGTCAAATTAGTGGTTTTATACTTAATTTGAGTTAATTTTCGTTTATTTCAGTGTTCGACTCGTTTGGCGTAACTTGGAAAAGAAATAAGGATCAATTGGCCATTGGATGCAAATTTTGGGGATCAAAGTCTACACAATTGATGAATTCAAGGATCACATGGCATTAACTTGGAAGATTGGATGATTTGAAGAAAATATTAAATTAATTGGGCCTCAATTGGATTCTTATTTGGAATTAAATTGGACTTTTTAATTGGAATCAAGTTGATCTAAATTGAACTTTTGGTTGGGCTCAAACTTAGGGCTGGTTGGGAAGTGTATGTATACATTACAATAGAAAACGGAGTCTGCCCACTGCTGAAATAGATCACACACACAAAAAAGGACAGAAGAGGAAAAAGGGTTGTAGCTGTTGGTGCATATATATTACACAAACACACTCATAGGGGGATGGACGGCTGAACACAAAAGGAAGAAAAAGGCAGCCAATATTATATACATATACACATTAAGAGAGACGGGCAGGAGGAACAAAGAAACATATACATGCATAGGGCTGCCGCAGAGAGAAAGGTGGGCTGCAATATTACATATTTACACACACATTGGAGGCAGTTTGCTGGAGAAAATATATTCACGAGAATAAAGTCAGCGACTGATTTGTTTGGGAGTCTTTTTTCCAAGCCAACAATTGCAGCAGATTGATAAAATAAAAACGAGCTGCCTGCTGGAAATATATACATTAAAAAAAGGAAATGGCAGCTGTTGGAGGAATTTATAAAGGGCTATTTACTGCTGGAATATATTACATGCATTAATAGGCAGTTGGAGGTGGAAGAAATAAAGGTAGAAATTGAGAGCAACTGCGGCTAATTCTGGGGAGTTCTTTTGGAGTCAAAAATTTCAGTTGCTTGCTGCTGAAATTACAGGCAAAAAAGTCGGCAGCCGGCTGGAGAAAAACACAAAAGAAAATGGCAGAAATTAGAAAAGAACATAGGTGGCAACAGCTTGGAGAAGTCAAACATAGTGGCTGGAATTAATTAGGAACCAAAGCAGATTGAGGGGGCAGCTTTGGAAGGAATTGGAAATCATTCACGTTCTGTCAATTTATTAGTGATTTTTTTTAACTTTTGCGTGTTTAATTCCGACATCATGCTAGGCTAATTTTTCATATTGCTAGGATGTGATGGACCCTTGTTATGAATTTTTGGTTTTGAATAATTAAGTTGACATTAATTTGTTTAATTGTTTGGATGTTTATTATTGTTTTGTTGGCTTTTCAATTAACTAGCCATTATTTGAGTGTGTGTGGATTTTATTGTCATCAAGAGAGAACAAGATCATTAGCATATAATAATAAACATAGTGAGGTTCGATAAAGGATAGAGATATATCTCTATACTTCATATGATTTTTATAAGATGTTCTAACTCGTTTAATACATTCATCATATTCGCACATTTAATCGAGGGATAGGAAGGTCACATGAGAGGAATAAATTTGATAACTATCGAGAGAGGTTTTCAAGTAAAATAGGAATATTGATCAACAAGCATGATTTCAAATTGTCAATTTAAATTGTTGAACAAAAAATGGATTAGCAAGGGGGATTCTACATCTTAAAAATATTTTTTACGAATTTGATAAATTTACTTTACATTGCTTTTAAATTAATTGATAGATTTAATAGTGTTTAGTTACAACTCGATTTTGCTATTCGATTAAAGATAGTGTTAGCTTTAACTTGATCAAACACTTAATCCTAGTGAATTTGACATTCTACACATCACTTTATTACTTGCTCACGATCTCGTCCACTTGCGAGAAATCAATCGATCACACCGCATCTCTTGCATGATCCTTGTGACTTTCAATGAATTATGCAACATAGGTGCTGCATGAGAATGTGTTAAAAGGAAATTTTACAAAACATAAGCATGAATTTTGGGGAAGGAAATGAGAGTAGGAACTAGTTCATGGAAACTTCATGATGAGGACTCCGATTGAGAGGCACTCATCAAATGATGGGTCAGAGAGAGTGGACCCTGGCAGTGGATATGGGAGGGGAAAGTCACTTTTCACATGTATAAATTTTCCATGTTTTTTTTTTTAATTTTTTTCCAATTCTCAGCATTTTTCCTTCTACTTTTTTTTTTTTTTTTCTAATTTTCATTTTTACATATTTTTTTTATTCACAAACTCGAGGCTAAATTTCTGCTTTCACTGAATTTTCTGCCTGCTTAGATGGAAAGAGTCCAAAAGGACCTCTTTGCTTCCAAATGTGGAGGGTGGGCACCCAAGTGCCAATAGCCAGAGACCTTGGGGATCATGACAGCAAGTTTTCCTAGAGTAACCAAGAAAACTGATTCCTTGATTTAGAAGAGGGAATGAGGATTCCCATACTTTACTGGAAAGAGTCATTCTCTGGAACATCTTTTCCCGAACAAAAAAATACCAGGCCAAACATTAAGCCAGAAAAGATGTAGTGGGAATGACCTTATATATCCAAGTCATTCCAGCAAACTAATTAGGCCTGAATTCATTCCTTTTTCATATTGTTCATCATGTTCAAATTCATTCAGCCTTCCTGAATAAATTAGTAGACCAAATTTGCATCTTTAGATGTTCAAATATCTTAGAAAATTGAGTTAGTTCAAATATAGACATTCAACTAGTAAATCTTTTTTTCTACACCAATCCATTTTGACTTTAACAATAATTAATATGTAAGTTCATGTAGATTCTAGAAAGTAGCAATATCATTTAGATGATGAACTCCACATGACCATGAAGAATTCAGAAAAGACATGGTGACCAAAAATAATAGGGCTACTACCTGGAAGATACATCAGAATCAAACTTGAGTAAGAAAATAGGAATAAGAAAAAGTTCAACTGGTCGATTTGAAAAGATAATTAATGAGGATCGATAAACATCCTAAGCGAACCCATAGAATATGGAAAAAAATTTGTCCACAAAAGTAGTAAAAAGAAGCAAAATTTCAAAATTAACAAGTCCAAATTGACCAAATTTTCTCCTCCAATGGCAACTCCTTAGACCAAAACACAATTCAATTTCCATGGATGTCAAAAAGTTGTAAGTTAGTAAATTTCACCGTGTTTTACATGCTAAAGAGTATATAGCAACCAAAAGAAGGATCAAAGTATCTTTGTTAACATATACTAACTGAAATAGTCTATCAACAGCCTTAGAGTCTTAGTTGCAATAAGTTTCTCACCTTCCTCCATGGCTGTGCACATATGGGAAATCACCTCCATTAAGTTTTGCACAAGCACATGTTCTAGGATCTGTACACTTGCCTTGACAATTGCATCCAGGAGGAGCTTTCGTACCAAAAATTATATTCTTAGCAAATTTCATACCCTTGATGTAGGTGAAACCTATTTCAACACCAAAAATAGAAAATATATCAACAAGGGCAGAGTTGAAATGAAAGGTGAAAAGAAACTGATATGCCACAAAGTTAAAATCACATAATTAGTAGAGTAACGCAGGAGTAAAACATACATCGGTAATGGTGCCTCACCTGTGTATCATAGAAAATTGGAAAACAGTACAAAAGAAGTATAAAAGAAATTAGCAGTAACGTTTGGCACAGAGTGATCTATAAAGCCAAAATTTCCAAGTTACTGAGAATCCGCAAATTTTAAAAGCTAATAATTATCAGTATATCACCAATGCTCATTTTCAGATGTTCTAATTACTAATGACTATGGACAATGCTTCATACACCTCTCCTCTAAAAACTCGCACATAGAATTGAAATTCCAACAGACTGAATCTTAAAGAGGCATGTTACTAGACCAAATATTAAGTCATTGTTTAAGCCCAATTTTTTAAAAATTAAGTCCTTTTGAGCCCTATTTTTCAAAAAGAAAAAAAGAAAAAAAATAGTACATCACAATCTTTTCAGCGGATGAGTTGTGGTTAGGAGTGAAATGCCACTCGAACACAAAGCTGGCCGGTTCTCCCCGAAGTGCATAGTATTTTTTGGATAATATGTAATTAAAAAGTAGAAAAAAGTTTTTGTTTACGTGCAAATTATTTTATAGGTAGAATGGATGGTTGAAAATGAGTTTGGAAAAAACTAATTTTTTGGATATTGGGGCTCAAAAAGAACTCATTCAGATACAACCTGTTATGAAAACTTGAAAAGATAGTAGTGACGCACATCTGTAGTGCCTTGAGGTATGCGCCTCAATTTTGCACAAAAATTTGAACATCTTTTCTTTTCTTTTCTTTTCTTTTCTTTTCTTTTTTTTTTCCCTTCTTTTCCGTAAGTCTGAACGTTAATTTTATTGGCCTTTTTAATTTTTCCATTTCAAATAAAAGCCCATCAATTCTTTCACTTGTTTGACCTAATCAACCCCACACCAACAATAGGATTTCTAGGTAGAAAACTCCGCAGTCCGAAAAATTTTGGCAGGCATTTTTTTCTTCTTCAGTCTGCATATTGTCTCCTTTTCTTTGTTATTTCTTTTTTTTTTTTTTAATTATATTAATGGGTGGTTTGTTTATTTTAGCGTTATTTCCATAGAGAATTATTAAGATTATTTATGGCTATTTATATGTCTATTTTTGTACCGTTTTATATTTTTTTAACTTAAATGTTTTGGTTTGCCATGAAGCTTACACTTCAATTTGCCGTGAGGCTTATGCCTCGCCTAAGGAAAACACCTCCCTACTTAGTTCTGCCTTTTTAAGCATTGGATACATCTATAAGAAAATCCTAGAAAAAAATGAAAGTAACCAAAATAACAAAAATGGAGATTTTCATAACTGGACAACTTGCTCGTGAGTTTGCTGCTCAATATAAGATGTCAAAATCGCTTTGTTTTCAATTCTTCACACTTCTCACAAGTAAAACTAGGGATGGCAAAAAAACACTCAAACCCCATACCCGTGGGGGCCCCGTTGGCGAGGATAATCCACTTAATCGGATATTCGGATCAAAGATGGGCGGAGAACTTCGCCTTGGGTCAAGTACGGGGCGGGTACCGGTAACAAGGGCCCCACACCTCACCGCCCCGTTTAATTTTATTTTTTTTTTCTAAAAAAGAATTCAACACTTTTAAAGGAAAATTCCATGAAATTTCATTCGTTCTAATAGAATATGACAACTAAAATTATCTAAAGAATATAACAAACAATAAAAGCCTTAGTTTACTTAATATATTTGAATAATTTAACTTTTAATAAATAAATAAATTTAAAAAATTAGTAAATATATTATCGTCTCACTTTAATGAATGAAGGCAAAAAATGAATTATTTCAAAAAAGGTAAATGGGCCCTTAAATGGGTAACAAGGCAGGTACGAAGCGGGAAATTACCCGAAGGGGAAGGGGGCAAAGGAGCTTGCCCCAACCCACCTCTTTGCCAGGTAAAACACCTCTCCTATTTCTCCACTCTCTTTAATAATCATGCCACCGTGCATATGTATTAGGAAGAATTGAGTTTATAACATCGATTTTTAATCGAGCTCTAGGTTCCAGGCAGAATTTAATTTCATCTATAAATTAGATCTGAGTAAGAATATTTTTGAACAAATTCCTCAGAATGCTCTGCAACAGTTTGTTTAGAGGAACAATTCTGAACTCCAACCACCAATTCTAAGTCTTGAGCCTCTATATCTGGCTTCAAAATCACAAAGTTTCAAGGGTAATTAGCACAAAACGTCCTTACCTTTCATGATTTTTTGTGGAAAACGTCCCTACCTTTCGTTTTTTGGCGCATTTCATCCCTACCTTTACCTTTTCTTGTGAAAAACATCATTTTCATCATTTTTCTCAATAAAAAGTTATAAAATGACTAATATACCCTTCTATTTAAATAAAAAAAAATAAAGAACTAATTGCAATCATAGTTCCAGTTTTTAAAAAAGTTCAAAAGAGGAGGAGGAGAATTTATTTATTTTTTTATTTGGAACTACGATTGCATTTAGTTCTTTATTTTTTTAATTTAAATAGAATGATATATTAGTTATTTTATAGCTTTTATAGAGAAAAATGACGAAAAGGATGTTTTGCACAAGAAAAGGTAAAGGTAGGGATGAAATGCGCCAAAAAATGAAAGGTGGGGACGTTTTCCACAAAAATCATGAAAGGTAGAGACGTTTTGTGCTAATTACCCAAGTTTCAACAATGGAAACTAGAACAACTGTCCATAGAATCCATTGACATTGTGTCCCTGGTACTCATAGTACCACTCAAACAAAAGACAAAAGTAATATGTAAAAGACAAATGTGGAATTCAGCTGACTTTTGAATACAAATTCAGGAACGATCAATAGTGACCACTAAAACAAAGAAATAAACTTGCCTTTAGGAGGGATAGGTGGTTCATCAACCAAATTAGTAACAGGAATGGGAATTTCTTCTTGACCCCCAGTAATGTCTTCACACACCAACCTTATTACTCAAATCAAAAGCAGGATTTCATTTTTCCAATAGGTGAAAACAAAAGATGATTGCACTAGATTGTTATTTATTGTTGACATACCCTCGTATTTCAGATATTGAATTAGGAATACGGCCTCGAGTAAAATAAACCTGAAATAGAGATAAACAAATGATGAAGGAAAGAGTGGATAAGTGATCCATGATGCACCACACGCGAATTTTGAAAAAAAAAATTGACACGACATGTCGACGACATGTTGACTAAATTCTTTAGAATTCTAAAATTATTTAGTCTAAATTTAATTTTATACTTATTAATTTTTCTTGCTGCAATCTTTTAAATATGAGTACCTTTTTCTTGTTTAATAATAATTTGAGTTTAAAATATATATTATTTCTAATAAAGAAAGAAAAATTACTAATGGTTGAGTCTCGATATCTGACGCATGTCCAACACGAACACACAACCCTAGTTGAAGTGTCCTGCAATAGTACTCATTTGACTAGCTCAGCATCTTTATAATTCAGCAGCAATTAAAATTAAATTATTAGTTGATTTTCATAGAAATTGATGAAATATGCAATTGAAAAGTTACGAGTCTCATGAAATATATGGTTGAAATTAGTTGTTGACTTTAACTTCGATTAAAATATTGATTTTAATCTCCACCATAAGGAGCTAAATTTCCCAATGTTTTGCCACACTATAAGTGATCATTAAGCAGCAAAATTATAACCAATTTCGGGTAACTAACTAAGCCCCTTTTTGTGCTCCATTAAAAATAGCCCTTGTTTGAGCACTATTTTATGTTAAAATGAATTTTGTAATAGTGATTTTTTTTTGAAAATGTGTTATTAAAAAGTACGAAAAAGTTACGTACAAAATATTTTATTGAAAAAATGTACGGTTAAAAATGAATTTTAACAAAAATGAGTTTTTAAATAATGGGGCTCAAACAAGGGCATAGATTTTAGGAAAATGTATTTTGGAATAGCAGTTTTTTTGGAGATTGTGTAGTTAAAAAATAAAGAAAAGTTTTATTCAAATGTGCCTGTAAGGATTGTAAGCCTACAACAAACAAGCTTGACATTTTCAGGATAAATCCACTATCAAAATTCCACAATGCTCTTATAAATTTCAACCCAGACTATTTTTGGACATCCTGGAATGTAAAGGTAGATAAGAACATAGAACAGAGGAAATTTATTCAACCAAAGCAATAAACACTAGCACAAACTGTTCAGTCTTATATGAAGTTCTGTAGTTCACATCTTTCGGTGGGGGAGAGTGGGTAATTAACAACTCAGTGTGCAAAACAAGAGGAGAAATATTAGTCAATTAGCAAAAAAGACCTGATTTGTTGTCAATGGCGGCTGTCCATCAAGCCGCTTCAGTCGAAATTTATATACCGTGAACCCAGAGACACCCTTTTCAGCCCAGTATTTGACAACCTGCAATATAAAGAAAAAGTACACCCTAGATGTCTATATATCTTCAAGATTAAATAAATATAAAGGCACAAGCCACAGGAAAGAAACACTCCACACATGCTAGCTTTTGAATAAAAATCGAAAGTAAGATAGACAAGGCAATCCAAGTTTTTTCCTCCAATGTGTTATGTATGCTCAATGAAAACAGCATTGCTGGAGATAAATACATTATATCTTCTACAAAAACTACAACAGAAAGAAAGAAGGG